TTCCCCCTTTTTAAACCCCCCCCCCCCCCCCCCCCCGCGACAAAAAAAATCTGCACTGACTTATTCCACTTCTACCTACAATATCTGAATTATTCAACCATTCACTATCACAATCTGTAAGTGAATCTGCAAAATTGCTATAGAAATTTTTATGCTAATCTATCAGTAATCGACAGAATATATATTCATCAAAATCGGAAATTTCAAAGCTTTGCCTCACAGTGATCACTAGCACTACAATTTTTTTTACTGATTCCTACTCCAGCAAGTTGATAGGCCTCTAATATGCCTCACCTATTCTAGAAGGACCCAGAAGAAGGAATGACCAGCTAGCTTAGTGAAAACAGAATCTGTTGGAGAGCAAGTGGCTGAGGGAAATTAGTTAGGCAACAGCTATAAATAAAGGTAGAAGGGAGGATAGAAGGCAGGCTTTTATGTAGTGAGAAGTGAGACCCCAGGAGAGTTTAGCCCTCTCGAATGGCTACTATTTCTTTTCCAGTTCTGTAATTTTCTTCAGGTTTCATCAATTAAACAGTAGATTATTCTCTGGTTCTGATTTTGCTCACAAATTACAGTTAGAACCCTATCGCAAGTATAGATCATGCATTTAGCATAGCACAAGAAATGTAACTTTTTTAAGAATCAATTTTTTCGCAAATCGGTTAATATGATCACCATTTACCAGATTACCTTCTTGTACAAAGCATCCAGCGCATCTGTGGTAATTGTATACCCCACTCTAAACGTCGGCACAGCCAAACTCTCCAACATATTCCTACTCACTGCACTCTGCATTGTTGTAAATGGAACCACCGATCCCAGTTCCAAAGCAGCACCAACAGTACTCGACTTAGCAGCCTCACTAGCACCACCTGCACTTGCTTTTGCAGCTGCAGCCTCCTCCACATCCTTCGCCACTATCCGCCCATTAGGTCCACTCCCCACTAGTCCAATCAAATCCACCCCATATTCCTTTGCCAATTTCTTCGCGTATGGCGATGCCATGACCCTTTTCCCCCCTTCGGATGCAGGGTGCACTGAGGACCCCATTGCACCATTAGCAACAGAGCTTCTGCTACTAACATTTGCACTTGTAATGGCACTGGGAGTATCATCACTAGTAATACTATCTGGGGCGGGGGCTGGAGCCGGGTTGGGAGTGGTGATGGCGGAGGAGGAGGAGGTTTTCTGGGCTAGGGCCGCGGCGATTTCATCTTCCGATTCAGCAAGAAGGGCAATGGGGGAACCAATGGGAACAGAATGTCCCTCCTCCACCATAATGGCGGCGAGGTACCCATCGTAAAAGGACTCGACATCCATATCCGCCTTGTCGGATTCCACCACCACCACCGAATCGCCCTTGGAGAGCTTCTCCCCCTCCGACTTGATCCAACTGACTATTTTTCCCTCCGTCATGGTGGAGCTCAACGCCGGCATGAAAATTTCTCGGATCTTGGAGTGGATTTGGAGGGCCCAGGTCGGGTTGTGGGCGGTTCGGGTTAGTGGGCGACGTAGGGAGGGGGACGTGGTGGGGACGAAAGTGGTGTGGAGGAGCTGAGACATTGTTTTCCTGTGCGTATGTGAGAGAGAAAGAAGAGAGATGTGAAAGTGGAGTGGTTTTTCGAGTGTGATTTGGGAGGAAAATAGAATGGAATTCTTGGATTCATCGAAAGTGGGCGGAGGTTTCAACTACCTTACCAGTTGTGTTTAGCGATGATATTTGTCTTTGTTTTTCTTGTTTTCACTATATTTTCTTTTTCATTTTTCATTTTACATTCTACCTTTATCCTTTATTTTATTTTTCAAATACAAATCAAATTGAAAACTATAAAATCGATCATAAAAAATAGAAATCGCATCCCACGTCACTTTTTGGGTAAAAAATGTCATATTTTAAAAATCTTTGTTAGAATGTCACTTTTTTGTCCCTCTAATGAATTTAAAGGATAATTAGCACAAAACATCTTTTCAATTTTAATGTTATTATACAAAACGTTTCTACCTTTAATTTTTTTAACATTTTCACCCGTATTTTAATATTTCACTTTGATCATCCAATTTCTTAATAAAAAAATATAAAATAATATATATACCCTCATATTTAAATAAAACAAACAAAAAAAAAGAATAATTAAAGAATAAATTTCAATTATACCCCAAACTTTTTAAAAAACTGCAAACGAGTCCAAATAAATAATTAAAAGGTTAATTAACACAAAAAGCCCATACTTTTTCAATTTTTTGGTATTTTCACATTTATTTCCACATTTAATTGAGAAAATCATAATTTTCATCCGTTTTCTCATTTAAAAGCTGTAAAATGAAGAATATGTTCCCCTATTTAAATTTAAAAATAAAGAAAAATAAGAAATTTGGGAGCATAGTTACAATTTGTTCTTTAATTTTTTTTAAAACATATAGGAGGGTATATTTGTCATTTTACAACTTTTGAATGAGAAAACGATAAAAATGATGATTGTCGCAATGTAATGTGAAAATAAAGGTGAAAATGCCAAAAAAATAAAATGTATGGACGTTTTGCACAATAATATGAAAATGTAGGGATATTTTGTGCTAATTATACTTTTAATATTTATTTGGACTCATTTGCAGTTTTTTAAAGTTTGGAAGTATAATTGCAATTTATTTTTTAAATTTTCTTTTCTTTTCTTTTCTTTTTTGTTTTATTTAAACATGAGGATTTATTGTCATTTCACATTTTTTTAATTAAGAAAAGGACTTTTTCCGTAATGAAATGTGAAATTACGGGTGAAAATAACAAAAAAAATAAAAAATAATAACGTTTTGCACAATAACATTGTAAGGTAAGTACGTTTTGTACTAATTATCCAAAATTTAAATACTTTGTATACCTATAATTGAAGGTGATTTGAGTAATTAAAAAAATAGTAAAGAAGTGGAAAACTATTACATCAAATGCACTCCAACCCCCACCTGCCCACCCTACGTTCACTTTCAAAACTCACTTCCCAATTTTGTATATATGCTTCATTTTGCAAAATCACTTTCTAAACTCATTTCACACAAAATGGGGAAGAATATGCACACATCCATTTGAATTTGAAGGCTTTTCACCCAACAATAACCAATTCTCCATCTCACGATCGATAATCCACACCGAGTTGGAGTACATTTCAAGTTCAATCTCCAACTATTCGTATTTGGCTCCTATTTCAAATCGAAGTAAATATCATTTTCATTTTCTTTTGGATTTAAATGTTTTGAATAAATTGTGCTTTTTATGTTGTGGTTGATTGTAATTTGAAGTTGAAGGAAAAAAAATACATATGTATGGTTTCGATTTAATGAGGGACCATATTCAACTTCCTAAAAAAAATTGGGATTTTCAAACATTTTCATGTAATGTTGGGTAAAATTTTTTAGTTTGTGAAAAATCTAGATTTGTTTCTTTATTTTTCTCCACCTTTTTATTCGGCGCTTCTATTCTTTGAAGTTTGAACTGGATTTGTTCATTTAGATTTGTAAATAGGATTACTTAATATTTAATATCATATGTGCTTTGCTAATGAAAAATCAAAAATAGGTGAAAATGAAGTGCACTTTTATTTAGTGGATTACATTTATTCTACACTTGGAAGCAAGAATGTAAAAGATTTACAGCTTGTTTGGGAGCGATTTTTTGCCCCAAAAAATTGATTTTTTTGATTAAAGTAAAGATAGATAACTTATTGTAGCATGTCACATGTTTGACTAAGCTTAAAAGTAATTATTTTTTTCTAACGTATTTTTTCATATATTGTTTATTTATACTTGTGAGTTAAAAATTTATTTATTTCGACCAGGAAATGGAAATATGCTTTATATTTACTTTTATCATTTAAAAATATATTTGCTAGAACTTTGTCATAAACATTTAAAAATATATTTTGACCCATTTTGTCATTAGCGTGAAGAGTGTAACATTTTAAACTAAATCTCGAGTAGTAAAGTGCATTTATGAAAAAAATTTAATTTTCAGCCCACCCTAACATATCTTCTGGACTCCGCCCTTGAAATTTAGTACCCTCTTGCTTAGTTTGGTTGTATGATTTTGACAATTTTACTTTATTTTAAGTTTTTATAGATGACTTCTTTCCAAATATGTTATTGTTTTTGGAGGTTATCGTTAAGCTAAATTCTTGTTGTATTGTTTTATGAATATGATTTTGAGTTTGTATCAAGCTAATATCAATAATCAAATTAATTTATTATATTAGAAATATTTTTTATTGATTAAAGTAAAGATAGATAACTTATTGTAGCATGTCACATGTTTGACTAAGCTTAAAAGTAATTATTTTTTTCTAACGTATTTTTTCATATATTGTTTATTTATACTTGTGAGTTAAAAATTTATTTATTTCGACCAGGAAATGGAAATATGCTTTATATTTACTTTTATCATTTAAAAATATATTTGCTAGAACTTTGTCATAAACATTTAAAAATATATTTTGACCCATTTTGTCATTAGCGTGAAGAGTGTAACATTTTAAACTAAATCTCGAGTAGTAAAGTGCATTTATGAAAAAAATTTAATTTTCAGCCCACCCTAACATATCTTCTGGACTCCGCCCTTGAAATTTAGTACCCTCTTGCTTAGTTTGGTTGTATGATTTTGACAATTTTACTTTATTTTAAGTTTTTATAGATGACTTCTTTCGAAATATGTTATTGTTTTTGGAGGTTATCGTTAAGCTAAATTCTTGTTGTATTGTTTTATGAATATGATTTTGAGTTTGTATCAAGCTAATATCATTTTTTTTAATTTTTGGATCAAGTTAGCTATATTTATTAGTAAGCTTGTTTATTTATCTATACATTTTGATATTTTTTTCCAAGTCATTGGTTCAATTTTGAATATATAAGGAGTTATTCTTGTTTTGTAATTGTGTCTTCTCAAAGATTTGATTATTCCAAAATTATTATCATGGTTTTTGGGAAATTTGTTGGACAAAAAAATCTTATTTTTGCATAAATGGACAAACTATGATGCCATTGGAAGAGTGCCCGAAGGGCTCAGTAGTGCCATCCTCTAGTAAAGGAGTTGTATTGGGGGTGCCTTTAAATGTTGTTGATCCAATCGAAAATGAAGAAGTAATGCTCAACGCAAATCCGAATATCGTATGCTTTTAACTAAACTCCTCACACTAATAGTAATAGGAAAAACATGAATTTATTGAAATTTGGTGAATGGAAAACATTGTCGTTCTTATTTAAATTGTTGAAAATAGTGGAGCTTTGCAAGATAAGGAACTCAAGTATCTAATCTTTGTACTTTGATAATAGAAAACATTGTATAACTTATTTTCGTATCTATGTAGTTTATTTTGTGGTTTGTGAAAGTATAGTTATTTAGCTGGTTGTGTGGCTTGATTGTGCAATTATTACTAGTTGTGCATTATAATAATGGGAGAGTTTAGATATATATATATATATATATATATATATATTGCTTCTAAATAGCAATGAATTGACAGTTCTATTTCAAAGTTCATTGTTCTAGTTTATAGTGGAATAGCTCTAGTACTTTTGTATATCACATTTTAGAGGTTAGATACAATGATTGTTTAAACTCAAAATTTATTTTCGACTGCATGGGCTCACAAAATCTAAGCAATAGTCCATTAGACCTCAATGCATCTTCTCCCATTCCCCGGTTCACCCCCCCCCCCCCCCCACTCCT